CAAAACACCTTGTGAAAATTTCTGTGATTTGTATTACTGATAAAGTCCCAGGTGCTGCTAGTATTAATTGGTTTGTTGCCAACATTTATATTTTAAGGAAGTGCTAATATTCAGACACAGGCTAGGAAAAGTAAAGACACAGTTTTTCCTAGTCAAGTCTTCAACCCCACCCCACTCCCTACCCCAGTTCTATCCATGGGCCCTTTGAGAGTTAACAGACCTCAAATTAAAAACCTGCCCCTGGATTTGGGGCAGAGATGGTTTATTTTCCCTAGGCCCTAAAAATAGTATCCAATAAGGTCTGCATACCTGAAAGAACTAATTAAGTATGTGTGTGTACCTATCAGAAAATGAGAACACACAGTATGGTGCAGACTGGTCCTTCTTTTCAGACCCTGGAGTCTGGAAGGGCTTTAGACAAGTTCTTCCCATCTGTGACAGTATCTGTGTGTATCTAGTCTCTTTCATATTCCAAGCTAAGATGGCTACTTGGAACCTGCAGAAAGGTCTACCCAAATTGCAAGGGCTAAATCCTAAGAGAATCTTCAGGACTCCTTTCCTTGTGCCAGACCTTGCACCAGACCTTGCACCAGATCTGTGTTGACAGGAGTAATGCCTTGCAAAGTGAGAGTCCAGAGTTCTCAAGCTGTTTGACCAGATTACCTGTGTGACCTTGACTAGGCCAATGTTCCTCTTTGAGCGTGTTTGCTCATCTATAAAAATCAAGAGTTGGGGGAGATACTTTTCAGCTGGGACTCCTGACATGCTTTCTTGGTGTTTAAGAATTTTCAATGAATTGTGTGCTTCTCTCTCTGTGTGTTTCATCTTGATAATTTTTTTTTTTAAAGACGTTTTCTGGATCATCTGTCTGGACACCTTACAATTAAGTCTTATATATTTCAGTGTCTGCATTTGCATTGGTATTTACAATTGCAAGCAACAATACTATCTCAATTGCCACAAACCAGTAAGGAGAGGCAGACAGTGTGACACATATATGACAAACTGGTGCCAAGTAAGGCCATATGACATCACAGTGTGCTGTGCTTAGGATGCTTCCTTATGGTTAGAATACAAAAAATGATGGAAGAGCATAGTTATTCAACAAATGAAAAATAAATAATCTAAATAAGCAATGACAACAAAACTCATACCTTAGGAATTGTTATATGCACAGGAGATTTGAATGCCACACACAATATATCACATATATTATGAGATAACATTGAATTTTATTGATTTTGTTTATTTGTTCACATTTGATTTTTTTTTTTTTTAATTAACGGAGGTATGGACACATTGAATAGACTGACAGCTGTCAGAGTAGAGGAGGAACTGGATGAAAGGAGGTGAAAGGATTAGCAAAAGAATATACAAGTATAACTCATAGACACAGACATCAGTGTGGTGATGGCCAGAGGGGTCGAGGGGCTGAGCTGGGTGGAATGGGTAGAGGGGGAGGTAATGGGAACATCTGCAATAGAGTCAACAACAAAAATAAGAAAAAATAATTTCTGTGTATCCTTGTATGGCAGTTATCAGTGTAAGAAGCTTATAGTTTTGTTTATATCTGAGTAGTATCACTACAAAACAGAAAAGCCATTTAAAACAACATTGGAAGTAAATGTCCATGATTTTCTACTTTTAAAAAAGAGAATTTCCAATATTAAATTTGAGAAACAGTGAACTAAAAAAATATTTGGTGCCTCTCCCTGCCTCTGACCTTCAGGGGCTCGGATTCCCAGAGAATAAAGTCAGACCAGCAAGCCAGTTGGGAAGGTATGGGAATGGGTAGAAACTGTGAGTGTGCTCTGCTGCCCTCTGCTGGCCATGCAAATCATTGGCAGGGCTCATCCTGGGCTTGGAGAATTTGGAAGAGATACATTTGCCCACAGGTGGCGGGGACAGTCAGCTTTCGTCCTCTGGACACTGCAGCTCCTCCTGCCACGTCTGTCCCAATCCACCATCCACAGAGTCCACACTCAGTGAAGGCTAGGTTTTCTGGCTAGGTCCTGGGTTCAGGAGTATTCATCAGCAGACTTTAAGGAATGTTTCTGTAGTGGGAAAGCAGACCCCTAAACCAATCACTAGGACACATTGGGTCATTCCTGAAGTGGGACGGGGAAGAGGGCCTGAATGAGGGCTTACTGGGCACTTACATTCGAGAACTATTTGCTTAAAGTCTTGGGGCAGCCTCAGAGTGTTGTTACAGACTTTTATCCTTCTATATAAGTAAATTCCAGCCAACGTCTTTTCCTACTTCTTATCTATCTCTTAGTACACAACATAGTGTCCAGAACTTGGTACGAAGTCACCACACTGTCCTCAACTTTTGCCCAGGCCCTGGCACCCTGGAGGCACCCAGGTTGTGGAATTGATGGCCTGGAAAGAGGAGATCTGGGAAGATGTCTTTTTGGGGGCAAAGTCAGCAGGAAGAACAGTGATAAATCAGTCCTCTTCTCTTTCCAGGAGGCTAATGGCCCAGTCTCTCTGTGTTGTTTGCCCTTTGTTTATTTGGGGACACAGAAAATGCAGTAAAGTCTCCCTGGCCTCATCCAGCTGCAGCTCGAGTCTTCCCAGTGTGGCTGATCAGACTCAGCCTCCTTGCCAGAAGCTGGAAATCCCAAAGAACTACTCCAACTCCAGTCTGTACTGTAAGACCCCCTCCACTCAGCACACACCTGCTCCCAGACATCCCCAGTAAGGAACTCAGCTCCAATTAAGAGTCTGAGCCAGAGAAAAGCTCCCCACAAGTGTACCAGCTCTGTTCCCCCTCCCCAGAGCATCTGGTCCCTCTCCTAATGATGAGACCTCTTCTCTTCCCCTCTACATTCAGACATGGCCATCTCCCTGTCTAGCCTGCAGACTCTGATTTGGAGGCCTTCTGACCCAAAGCACCTCTCCTGGTCTAGTACAGTGGTTAAGTTCAAAGACCCTACACCCAACCTCAACATATCTCCTCTGCCATTTACTGGCTGAGTGGCCTTGGGCAAGTTACTTAATCTTTCAGAGCTTCATTTCCTCATCTCTAAATAGAGATCCTAGTAGTATTTTTCATACAATCTTCATGAGGATTGAAGGAGTCAATGTCTGGAGATTGCTTTACAAAGGGCTCAGCATATCATTAGTGGTCAAGAGAGGGAATTGTTCCATCATCGTCACTGCAAATTAACAAGGCTGTTAACCGGCTAGCATAGCCACCACTGACTAACCCAGGATATACAGCCCCCAAATGACCATCACAAGAGCCTCCTGCTAGGCACACTAGCTAGGTGATGGCAACTGCAATCCTGCACAAGAGCTGTGCCAGTTCTGTGAGACCACAGCAGAACTGTGTCCTCCGGGAAGTGGCAATCTTGCTGGCAAGATAGAATGAATTGTCAAAGCAGTTAGTAAAAAAATACAAGATAGTTTAAAAGTACTAAATTGCTTAGTGCAGGCTATAATTCTGTTAATCATAAGAACTATTTGTTACGGCATTTTAGCACTTACCCAACACTTGGAAATACATTATCTCATATAACCCCCCAAACAAACCAGCAAAGTAAGAGTTGTAATTAGTAAATGAGGGAACTGAGTCTGACAGAGGTGAAATGGCTTGCCTGTAATCACAGCGCCAGTGAGTGACTCAGAAAGGACAACTTCAGCCTGATTCTGACTTCTCTGGGTATGAGGCTCTTTGCTTTTTCCATTGAGAGAGAGAGAGAGAGAGAGAGAGAGAGAGAGAGAGTGTGTGTGTGTGTGTGTGCATGCACACCCTTGTGTACATTTCAGGGATGGTGCCTCTTCAGACTTCCTCTTACTCTTGTCCTCAGAGCACTCAGCTCTGAGACCCCTATGTCCAGAATACCCTGTAGTTCATGTTTTACATCTGTGCTGTGTCCAGTGGTTTTATTCTGGGCCTCATTTCACAGGTGTCATGGCCACTTAGAGCTACTTGGTCTCTGAACCATACAGAGGACAGGGGATTTTGTGACCTGTGGCCCCAACACCACCCTCTGAGGCCCTCCGAAATATGCAGCAAAAGAGAAGGAACCTCGGGTCCTGCCTGCCCACAGAGGGAGGGCTTGGGGTGCAGGGCCAGCGCTGGTTGCAGAAACCCAGAAAGCAGGCTGCAGCAGCCCCTGGTGGGCTTCCTCCAGAAGCACAGCCATGGTCCCACATCCACCCTAGAAGGAGAGGGAGATGGAGACCCAGACACAGGGCCACAGCCTAGGGAAGGACGGAGAGTGGCAGACCACAGCAGAACGTGACCAGCTGCATTCGACATGGTGTGATGACAGCTACACACTGGGTTTGAAGTCACACGCCTAGGTTAAGTAGCAGCCTCTCTGCTCCCTACTCTTGCCATCCTGGTGAGTTACCTCACCTCAGCTCCTCAGTTTCCTCTTGTCTAAAATGCAGACAATAGTTAACACCTGCTTTACATTTGCTGGCAGAATTAATTTTTCAACTAATACAGTAGGTGCTATCACTGCCACTTTTTGACTTCTGTGGGCTCTGGGCACTTCTATGTTTCTTTTAAAAGAAAATAGAACACTTTTATAGGTATCTAAATGTATCACGACCCCAAAGCATCAGGCCTATTATGCCTCGTGGGTTTACCATGTATTTTGTTGTGGCTGTTAAAGTATCTCAGGAACTGTCAAGTGCTGTGGCCTGAAAGGATCATCATCTTTCCTTTAGAAATGCTCTTTCCATCCTGCTGTGTGTCCAGCATATTTGTACTGAATTCATACTGCAAGGTCAAGTTTTCCAGTAAGAGGGTGGCCTCTGCCCTCTCCCTTCAGTCCCTGGGTACCACAGAGATGTGGGACTGGCATGTTTGCCGTCAGGATGGCATACAGAGTTCAGCTTGGATGACCAACTCCTTCAGACCCCAGGGCATGGGAAAGGGGCTCTGGAGGCCAAATACCCACTGGGTGCTTCCACAGTAGCCCTCAGAGTGGTAGCAACAGTGGCCTCTAGTGGCCCCAAATCTCCATCTACACAGTGCCCACCTCACCTGCCTTCCAGAAGGGCCCCCAGAATCCAGGGCAGGAATGAGGCTTGTGTTGACATTCACATATTTGTGTTTGTGTAAAACTCCCCTCAATTCACATAGGATTTAAATCTAGTCATATAACCAAACCCACAAAAATGTGCCGTGTATTTCTTTTTACATGAAGCCACGGATAAGCTCTAGATCACTGCTGTTAATAGAAATACAATGTGAGCCACAAAGGTGAGCCACATATATATCTTTAAATGTCCTTTTAAATGAAAACTGATGAAACTGATTTAGTATTTTATTTAACCCAAAACATCAAAATATTATCTTTACCACTAATAAATACAAAATTATTGAGATGCATCAGTTCTCATTCGAAGTCTTTGAAGTTCAATATGTATTTTACTGTTGTGTCATATCTCAGTGATCAAATTTTGTGCTATAATTTCATTGGAAATACATATATTTTATGTATTTCATAAAATTTACAGCTGAAAAAGCAGATTTACATACCAGCATTTTCCCAACCATACTTGAAAATTATCCAATAACTGAATCAAGTAATAGTTTTTAAATTTAAATGTAATTAAAGTTAAATAAAATTTAAAATTCAATTCCTTAGTTATCCTATTCATATTACAAGTACTCGATGGTCACATGTGGCTAGTGGCTACCAAATTGGACAATGCAGGGCTAGAGCATAAAAATAGTGGGAGCAATAAAGCATGCCTTTGTGAAAATAAAGAATGTTGCACTGTGGAAGTAAAATATTTGTAAATAAAGACCTTGTAATCAAGTACAACAATCATTATTTCCACCTGGGCTGATGAGGGCCCACAGCAAACAAGACACAGGAACCAAAACTCAAGTAGTCTATGGAATGGGTCTTTGGCCTAAGCAAATGAAAGATTGGAGGCATGGAGAAGGGAGAGCATGAGTCATGTTTTAAGAGAAAAGAATGATTTGATTGCTCTGGGGCATTCTGATTCTGATGGTACCTATGGAAATGTAGGCATCTGGGCTTTATTAAGCAGTTAAGAGGGATCACTGCTTCTTGCTGACACACGCCCTGGTGAAGTGATACATGAGCAGGTGAACCGATATGTGAGCAATAGGGCAACCTGACTCAGTTTGCACCTTGAGGAGTATACTTTCCCACATGGCTAGACCTGGTGATCCCGTATCTCAACTGTCAACCCACCTGTTCCCCACTGCTTTCTCTGTTGCCTCTCTCAATGCCAGGCCAATCTGAAGCAACTGGTGGATGTAGCACACACATCATCATCACCGTCACCCCTCAGCAGCCCCTGGCCCTGGCCCACATGCCATGCAGTCACCATCATACTGGACATGCACTTGTATTCTAGGGATTCTGAAATTTCAGCAGGGTGGCAGCCTCTGGATGAATAGGCTCAGACATTGTGAACCCCAGGCCTGTGCTAATGGAGTGTGCAGCCCCCACCTGTAAAGGTTTTAGGGACTGGGGTCCTAAACCCTGGAACCAAGGTTGAATCTGTACCCAAGGATCTTCATGTGCAGGTCCTGAAACTTTCCCATGCAGCAATGATGCCCCTGCACTGTCCAGTGGTTGGGGTGTCCCTCAGTGACTATGCACACCCCTGTCCAGCCTTCCTGGTGACTAGGTACTGCAGCATCAAGAGAGAATACAGAGCAAGCAGCCATGGAACTGAGCAAAGCCACTGGCTCCAGACCCCACTGCGCAGCCTCCTGGGAACCTCCTACATCAACACAGAACCGGGAGAAGGTGCTCAAGGTAGCATAAAGGGCACCTCCACCCCATCCCAGGGTCTAAAGTCTAAAGGAAGCCAACTTCAGTCTTGCTATTTGGGAGCATTCAGGAAGCGATCCCTCCACTGCCGGCCTATGTCTTCTATTGTGTCCCGAAGCATCAGCATCCAGTCATCAGTCTTCTTCATTGGGGTACAGCGTGTCTCCTTTCTCTCCAGGGCTAAGATCTCTGAGGGAATTTCTGGGGTCATCCCAGCAGCCAGGACAGCTTCTGGGAACTTGGCTGCAGAGGCCGGGGCCAAAAAACACCTGGGAGGGCTGTCGGGTGGAGCAGGTGGAAACAAGTGGGTGGGAGATAACAGATGGGAGGGACAGGCACAGAAATGGGAAGGGGAGGAGGGAGAAGAAACAGGGAAGGTTAGCCATAGTGTGGAACACAGAGGAGAAATAAAGAGACAGGTGTTTGGTACCTTAAACTTATCTTTACAATTGACTGCTGAGCAAACTGCTTCTTGCTGGTGGCCCAGCTTAGCTGCTGCCTCTCACGGGGGCTTTCTCTGGGATATTTATCACACACCTTCTTCTAGGACCATAGTTCTTGTGGCACAGTTACACAGAGCATCTATTAAGCTCATTAAAGCCATCTGTTCACATTCCTGTCTCCCCTGCTTGAAGAAGAAGAGGGCCCCTGAAAGCCAAAAAGTCCCCCCCAACCCAGTGACCCAGGTGCCCACAGCCATACCTGTGTGGCTGCCTGTGCAACTTCCGGTAATGGTAGCTCACGGCCACAGCAGAGTGAGGGCACAGCAAGTACTGGTTCTCTTCCCAGCAGCGGACCATGGTCTGGGTGATGGTCTCATCTGACACTGACTGAGATTTCACTGCTGCTGAAAGCTGACAGGTTCCAGGGCCAAAGGGGTGGGAATCAAAGTTGGGGGAAAGCAGGGAGAAAGGTGACCAAAACCCATTAATAACATAGCCAGACCAACATAACACCCAAGGAAACTGTTCAGATTGAATGGCTTAGATTCAGCCAAGACTCGTATTTCCCAGTTGTTAAGCTGATTCTCTCAACTTGAGGGAAGAATGCATGTGACTCTTGGGTCTATAAACCTAGTTTAGGATTTGGCTCTTGAATCAGCAAATATAGAATCTGGTTCAACAACCTCAAAACCACAGGTTAAGAGCATTCAAACATTCCCAGTGCTTTGTCATCGGTGCACCCTTTCTGTGGGTGTGAGACCCCTTCCTGTCAGTTCACACTGAGTTCATGCAGCAGCTCCTCTAGGAAACTCCCTCACTGCTCTAGGACAGAAAAACTCACTTCTCTGTGTCCCCTCAATATAGATGAATGCTTTGATCATTCTCTGAAAATTTGTTGCATGCCCACAATATGCCAAACACCCTGCATATGAGGTCTGTCCTGGAAAAGTCCACGCATTGTTAATATAATGAAAATGGTTTGTGCAACATTGATGTAATCTGGCAGCTAAGGAGAGGAATGCACATGTGTGAACAGTGACAATTTCACTATACCAGTAAGTAGGGGCAGTAGACTTGTAAGTGGGGGCAGTTGAGTGAGCATGTGTACTGTGTGGCCGTCTCATTCAAAATGACTGAGTAGAGCAATGGATCTGTATGAAGTTGGTTTTTTTTTTTTTAAATAGGAAAATTCTTTAATATTTAAATTGAAATGGACATTTCAGGGCAGAAATAGTACTTAAAAGTACGTAATATTTTTAAATTTTGACCACCAAATCAATATCCTTGTATTACATTTTATTTTTTTAATTTTTAAATCATGTTCATTCCATTAAAGTTGTCTCAATTTTTCACCTTTTGCCCTCCTCCACCCATTCCACCCTGTCTTCCTCACCCACAGTCAATTCCCACTCTGTTGTCCATGTCCATGGGTCACTCCTACATGTTCTTTGTTTAGTCCTTTCTCCTTCTTTCCACCATTGTCCTACTTCCCTGTCCCCTCTGGTCACTTTCAGTCTGCTCCATGTTTCCATGCCTATGGTTTATTTTGTTCGTTAGTTGATTTTGTTGAACAGATTCCACTTATAGTTGAGATTATATGGTATTTGTCTTACACTGACTGGCTTATTTCACTTAGCATAATATTCACCACTTCCATACCTGTTGTCGCAAAAGGTAGGAGCTCCTTCTTTCTTTTCTTTTTCAATGTAGATTTTATTTATTTATTTTTTAAATGTCAAACTCCATTATAAAATATTAAAAAATTTAAATCCATTATAAAGTCTCAGCAATTAAAACAACATGACACCAGCACAGAAATAATCAAATAGATCAGAGAAATAAAATGAGGATTCTAGAAAAAACGTATATGTCTAACAATGTAATATAAGATTAAATTGATATTTCAAATCAATTGGGAAAGTAAGGATTATTCAACAAATAAGGTGCATGGACTACTATTACTTGAAATAAAACAAATGTAGAGCACTATTTCACACATTATACAAAAAATATTCAGGTGAGTTAAAGATCAATATGTAAAACCTAAGGAGTTTTAGGAGAAAACACAAACTAATATTTTTCTTACCCTGAAGTAAAATATTCAAGCCCAGAAGCTATAAAGTAAAATATTGACAATATGACTATATTGAACATTTAAGACTATACTGTAATATACATATGAAGAAAAGTAAAAGGACAATAGAATAGGAAAGTATTTGTCACTCATCTAAAAAAGGGTTAATAATTGTTTTTAAGGGACATAATTCTATAAATATTTAATCAAAAATGGATAAAGACTATAAAAAGTCATTTAAAGCTTTTTAAAATAATAGAAATAGGCAAGAAATATACAAAAACAGGTTTAGTTTCAACAATAAAGGAACAATTAAAATCACACATCATTGTCACAATCAGATTAATAAGTATTAAAAATGTTGGTAATATCAAGTATTGGTGACTGTGAAAGGAACTGGGTATTCATAGACTCTTTTTTTCTTCATCTTCTTACAGTAGTTCCTTTGCATATCTTGCTGTGCTGGTTTGCTGGAGGTGGATTCCTTTAGCCTTCTTTTGTCTGGAAAACTCCTTCTTTCAACTTCCATTTTAATTGAGAGCTTTGCTGGGTAGAGCAGTTTTGGTTGCAGGCCTTTGTTTTTCATGACTTGGAATAGTTCTTGCCATTCCCTTCTGGCTTGGAGTGTTTCTGTTGAGAAATCAGATGCTAGCTGTATTGGGGCTCCCTTATATGTTACTACCTGTTTCTCTCTTGCTGCCTTTAGGATTCTCTGTTTGTCTTTGATATTTGCCATTTTAATGATGATGTGTCTTGGGGGTAGGCCTCATTGGGATCCTCTTGAATGGGATCCTCTGTGTTTCCTGGACTTGGGTGACATTTTCTCTCCTCAAATTAGGGAAGTTTTCATCATTACTTTTTCAAACAGGTTCTCTATCCCTTCCTCTTCTTCTTCTCCTCTGGTATCCCTATTATAAGGATATTATTATGTTTCAGGGTATCCTGCATTTCCCTAGATGCCTCTTCATACTTTTTGGGTCTTTTTCATTTTCTTCTTCTTTCTGGGAGCTTTTTTCTACCTTGTCCTCTAGCTCGCTGATTCAATCCTCTGCTTCACCTAGCCTGCTTTGGATTCCTTCTACTGTGTTCTTCAACTCAGAAATTGTATTTGTCATTTCCTCTTGTCTCTTATGGATAGTTTCTATGTCCTTTTTCATGCTGATATAGTTTGCAGTTAAGTTCTTTGTAGTTTCCCTGTAGTTTTTTGTAATTCTCTCTGAGCTCACTGAGCTCATTGAGATTCCTTATAACTGTCGTTTGAAACTCAGTATCTGATAGTTTACTTGCCTCTATTTCATTTAGTTCTCTTTCTGGGGATTCCTCCTTTCCCTTCTACTGAGTGGCGTTTCTTTGTCTTCCCGTTATTTGTGAGACTCTTCTTTTATGCTTCTGCTTTTTAAATTGACCTGTCTTGATTTCCTGACTTTGTAGTGTGAACCTCTATGGTAGGAGACCACTGCTTTTACTTTCTGGATCTGCCTCTGTTGATGTCAGTTGTTGACCTTGTCTGACCTTAGGCAGTCTGTTCAAGACTTCCAGGGATCTACTGTCTGTGGTCGTTTCCTTCAGCTGTAGACTAGTCACTCTGCATGCAGGAGGCCAGCTTAGACAGCACAGGGTGGGGCGGAGTCCCTCCTAGGGGTAGGGTTTTGGGTCCTCTCATGCCATTGCCACTCAGGGGAGTGGTCTCTGCTGAGCAAGATGGCTGCTGCCACATGGGGAATGAGTCAGCACTGTGATCCCACCGACTACTCTCTCGGCTCTCTCCCCAAATCCTCCTTCCCCAGTTTCTCCTCAGGCATCTCTAGCCCACTCTGCTCCTGCCTTTGCCAGAGTCCAGGATAAGTGGCTGCAAATAAAAATGTATGCCTTGGCCCTTTCAATGGCTCTTTGCATCTCCAGCCTCCCATTCCTGACACAGAGCAACCCTGCTGCTTTTCACAGCTGGCTCTTATCTGTTTATTTTTGGGGCTCTGGTGCTGTGGGCTGGAGATCCCTGCTTATAGTTTAGACCCTGCTTTTCTCAGGGGGATCCAACTGGCCATTTCAATACCCTTCTCATGCTGCTGCCCATGGGCACCCCACCTGCCTTCTCAAGTCTCTACCACATCCAGTTAGGTTATGCTAAAGCTGATTCTTCTGTCTCTCCGATGTTATAAGGCTCCTCTCTCACTATTGTTCATTGTTTGTTCCAGGTGATTTCTCCATAATTTAGTTGTAATTCCAGGTTAGTCCTGAGAGGTGGTCAGTGTGACTTTCACTCACTCTTCCTCCATCTTGATTTTCCCTGAGTCTGCATCAGGTTTTGCATTGAGCTTGAACATTCCTCCACAGAAACTATTCAGATGATTCAGGAGGCTACAGCTATGGGCAACTGGTGATTGGCAGCTTTATCATGACAATGCTCACCCATCATGTCTTGTGCAGAGTTTCTTGGCAAAACATCAAATCACCCAGGTGACTCAGCTCCGGGGACTACAGCGCAGATTTGGTGCCCTGTGACTTTTGGCTTTTCCCAAAACTAAAATCACCTTTGAAAGGGAAGAAATTTCAGACCATTGATGAGATTCAGGAAAATATGATGAGGCAGTTGATGGTGATTGGGAGGACTATGTGAGATACCAAGGTACCTATTTTGAAGGGAACTGAGGTGTCATTGTCCTAAGTACAATGTTTCTTGTATCTTGTACCTTCAATAAGTGTCTTTCATATTACATGGCTGGATACCTTCTGGACAGGCCTTTATGTATACTCAATAGCAACAGAGACCAGACGGTGATATAAATTGTTTATATAGCTACCTGCGCCATTAGGGCTCAAGGAGGACAATGAATTTGTTTTATTTATATTGTTACTTCCAGTGCCTAGCACAGTTTCTGGCTCATAGTATCTGTACAATGAATGAATGAATGATTGAATGAAGGCTGTTCTAGATGAAGTACCTTTTATAAGCACAGCCAGGGAGAGAACAAAGAACTGGGGGATTCTGTGTCTGTGTTCATGGAGATCTTTATTTACATGAGGAGAAAGAAAGTGGAGGTCAAAACAAACCATTAACCAATTTAGTTGATCTTTGCTTGTGTTATAGTCTGAATGTGTATGTTGCCCCAAATATCCCATGTTGAAACTATTATCCCAATGTGAGGCACGTGGGGCATTTGGGAGGTATTAAGGTCACAAGAGTGGAGCCCTCATGAATGGGATTAGTATTTTTATGAAAAGAGAACTAGCTAAATCTCTTTTCTCCTATGTGGGGATACGAGAAGCCACCATCTGCAACCTTGCAGAACTCTCTCACTAGAACCCATCCATACTGATACCCTGGATCTCGGACTTCCAGCCTCTATCCATAATTGTGAGAAATGAATTTGTCTTGTTTATAAGCTGAACAGTCTATGGTACTTTGGTATAGCAGACTAGACTGGTTAAAACAGGCTACCTCAAAGCAACACAGATCTCAGAGGACAGAAAGTCTGCTCTGCTCTATGTGGGTAACTAAGCCCAGAGAACTGTGTCTAGTCCTGGAAACAACCCTTTAAGATGGACACTAACCACTCAAAATTATGTCATGTAAGACAGAGTTAAAGGAACCAGGAAGGATTAGTGGGTAAACAAAGATCCTCTTCAAATGTAAGAATCAAACTGAACTAGTACGCAAGCTTGGAGGAGCAGATTCTAACTCAACATAAAGAACTGTGTAATGATTAGAGTTGATGTGAGGGAGTGAGGTCCTACTCCCTGGAGATATACACAGTCTGGATAACCGCTTGGTGGGACTGTGGTAGAGAAAAATTAAATGCAACTTCAACATATACAATTCTATTTTTCTTTTGCATAAGTGACCATCACCAGGTGGCATTAAAATGAAAGAAATCCCTCCCAACTAGATTCCTACCGTTCTAAGGAGATAAAATTTCATCTCCATCAAAAAAAAGAAAAAAGAAAAGAAAAAAAAAACTAACAGAACAATGGTCTCTGCTCATACTGGATGGACAAAGTGACTTCCAGTTGTTGCTACTACTGGAAATCAACAACAATAAAAATTAAAATAATATTATCAATAGTTAAGATATCAAGCCCCAGATTGCCTGATAGTATTCAAAGTACTTAATAGGTATTATTTGACTTAAATCTTCAACAACGCTATGAGACAGACATTCTTATTATCCTCATTTTACAGATGAGGAAACTGAGGCACCAAGTTTAAGAAACTGGTCAAAAGTCTCACAGCTAGTTTGGAATTGAGCCCCATCTGGCTCTAAGCCAGTACTCCCTACTTCCTCTCCTCATTCAACAAAGTGACTACAAAAGTTCCAGGTTCAGGGCAGGAGTTCAAGAAACAAGTGTCTCCATCCCTTGAACAGATTTTTCAAACCCAAAGTCTGGTTGTGTCATGGAGTTGCACTCTTTCTTTCTCTGTGGTGTGTGGGTGGTGACTGACCTTGCTTTGCAGTTCCTTAGGTAGACTTGCACTTTGGGTCCTTTCAAACTGCTCCATGAGGGCTCTTGTCAACTGACTGTCACAGTCAGAGAGCAGCCAGAATATCCTCTCCATGTTGTAGGGCACCTGCACAGAAAGGCAGGAGCCAGTGTAGGGGGAACTCTGATCTCAGCCTTTGTCCATCCCCACCCAACCAACAGCTGGCCAGCACTGTACGCCTCCCCACAGGTCCCACCTGAATGTCCATAGCTGATGCCAAGGTTGGTTTGATAGTCTCAGACAGAGAGAAGTCTCCTTGCTGGACAGTCCTGTGGATGATATCATTGCAATTCACTGCCGCAACCAGGTGGATGGGCAGGCCCATCTTCTGAGCAATGCACCCAGCTTAAGATGAGAGACAAGATGAACAACAGTTTCTTAGGCATGACACCAAAAGCACAGAAAAAAGAAAAAAAAAGACAGATAAATAGGACTTCATGAAAATTTAAAAACTTCTTTGTTTTTGAAGCTTTTGTGCTTCAAAGGACACCATCAAGAAAATAGAAAAGCAATCCACAGAATGGGAAAAACTATTTGCCAATCATACATCTGATAAGAGATTCTTATCCAGAATATATAAAGAGTTCTTACAATCCAACAATAAAAATCCAAATAACCCAATTTAAAAATAGGCAAAGGACTGAAGTAGGCATTTTTCCAAAGATAAACAAATGGCAAATGAACATCTGAAAAGTTACTTAACATCATTAGTCATCAGGAAAATACAAACCAGCCAAATGACACAACTTCATACCCACTAGGATGGCTAGAATAAAAAAGAGATAATACCACATCTTAGTCAAGATGTGAATTAATTGGAACCCTCATACACTGTTGGTGGGAATGTAAAATGGTGCAGCCACTTTGGAAAACAGTCTGGCAGTTTCTCAAAAAGTTAAGCATGAGTTACCACATGATCCAGAAATTTACCCCTGGATATAGAGACTCAAGATACCTAAAAACAGGTTCACACAAAAACTTATACACAAATGTTCATAGCAGCACTATTCATAATAGCTAAAAATGGAAACAATCCAAATGTCTATTGACTGATAAATGGATAAATAAATTGTGGTCTATCCATACAGTGGAATATTACCTAGACATAAAAAGGAATGAAATACTGATTGATGTAACAACACAGATGAACCTTGGCAACATTATACTGAGTGGAAGAAGCCAGACACACAAGGCCACAAACTGTATTATTCCATTTATACAAAATTTTCAGAATAGGCAAATCTATAAAGGCAGAATAGATTAAATCTAGAGCCGGGGGAATGAGGGGATGGGGGGGTGACTGCTAATGGGAACAGGGTTTCCTCTTAGGGTGATAAAAATGCTCTAAAATTGACTGTTGTAATGATCATACAAATCTTTGAATATACTAAAAACTATTGTATTACATACTCTAAATTGGTGAGTTATATGGTATGTGAATCAAATAGCAATAAGCTATTACTAAAAACAGAGAAGGGAAGAGGAGGAGAAAGTTACCATACCCTGATACTGTCCTCGTCCCACCAGATACGGACACACATGCCTGCTACCATTTACAGAACAGAAAATAGTGGTTCTGGGAAGTTTAAATGATCCATCCAAAGCATGCTAAGTAGCAGAATGCAGTTCTGAATGAGGTCTAAGTCCAGAAACATGCACTGGTCCTCTGACTCAGCCTCCTAGAACATCACCTTCAGACTGGACAAACAAGGAGCTCCTCACCTGAGAGGTGGAGAGCCTGGAATAGTAATAGCGTTTAGGAAGGCTTTAAACAGGGTTAGAAAAAGTAGGTTTACAGTTGTGAGTCTGTGAAAGTTTATTCTTGCATTAATATTTATTAATTATTGTATTATTTATTTGTATTACACCTGTAAACTTACTTTTGCCCACCCTGTATACTTCCATGAATGGTTTATCTCTGGTGAGTGGTTAAAAGATGTTAGGATAACCACATGACCCCAATATCACTCTTAAATTTGCAAAGCACTTTCGCCTTCTTATTTCATTTGGTCCTCATGAAAATGCCATGATACCTTTCTACAAAAGGGAGGAAATGGAGGCTCAGGAGGGTCAAGATGCTTAAGGACAAACAGCTAGTTCCTGATGGCTCAGGGAAGAGTTAGAAACGCGCTCTGCTAATGTTTATTCTGTGCCAGGCACTGTGGTAGACACTGGGACATGTGCAGCCTGCATGAGTCCAGATGGCATCATTCGCTGGAGGGTGAGGCAAATGGGGAGCATGGTGGGCTATACCCCGTGGGTGATGAGGAAGGCAGCGTCATCCTTGCTTAACTGTGGAAGGACTCAGGTAGACTCCTGACCACTGAGATGCCGGCATGGTCTCACCTAAGCCACCCAATTGGCACCCACTGACAGACCACCAGGGACAGTAATGCCATTTAGGAGGCAGCCCAGCAAGCAGGCGAGGATACAGGCTCTAGAGCAGCCCACCAGCTGGAATCCAGGCTCTGCCACTGACTAGTGTGGACACAGGGGCAGGCCAACTCACTTCTCTGCGCCTCAGCTTCCTCACTCTAAAATGGAAATAACAGTTCTGTCCTCATAGGACATGTGAGAATTAAATGAGTTAATACAGAAAAGCACTTAGAGCAATGCCTGCTGTATAGTTAGTGCTTAATAAATGTTCATTATTATTATAGAAAATGATTGTAATGTCATGCAGCTGTACAAAGGTCATACACAAACAAAATAATCTTATCTGCACCTCACAGCTGTTCTGAGAGCTATGATAAGTGACCCCCTGCTGCTTTTACACCTGAGGGCCAGAGTCCCAGGGGCCACCCACACTGTTCCACTAGTGGAGACTGGAACGGACAGGACCTGACATCTAGAGCTTCTTCCACTGCATAGGCCTCACTCAGTCATATTTCTAGGAGTGCTAACACACTGCCCACTGTGCTGCTGCCCTAATCGCAGGCAGCTGGTTGATGCTGGGAGTGAAGTCCATATTTCTGGAAAAGAGCACTGACAGCCGAGCACGGTGGCTGAACCTTGACTTCATCTTTCTACACTCTGCCAAGCTAAGACATCAGCTTAGCTGGCCAGAGGATGTCTCCCCCTGCAGCAAGAGGCCAGGTGTCCCCCCAGGGAATTAGGGGGAAGTTTTTTGGGGAGTTTCTTCTGCACAGTTTCCCATCACCTTCAGAGCTACAACTCAATATTTCTACTCACAGTTGTAGGCAAGGGGCAGCTGAAAGAGCTGGAGCCACAGATGTTTTTCTGGAAAGCCCATTTCTGCCCAGGGGTCTCCTTACCTGCAAGGTTACCAGCAGCCCCTGTTGGCACAACCACCTCCACAGGGGGCAGCGGGTGCATATCTAGGGATGACACACACCGGAAGTAAGCAAAGAAGTGGTGAGCCATTTGCACAAGGACCCGGGACCAGTTGATTGAATTCAAACTCATCAGATTGTGCTTCTCAACAAAAGCCACATCTGCAAATACAGCCTTGATTGGCTTGTCAAGTTCATCGCTGTTTCCCTCCACTGTCAGGGGAGAGAGAAGAGGGCAGCTGTTAGGAGCACAAAGAATCCCAGGCAGTCAGCACTTGCCACAACAAGGCCCTCCAGACTGAGCCTATCCACATGGAACTTAAGTTCAGCCTTGGTTTCTTTACTCTGGTGTGCCTTGGCCTGGCTTTCTACACTCAAAATCATTCTCTTCAAGAATAGAAACCATGTCTCATATTCTTGCAGTCATATTTCTGATGTTTTTATCATTATATAAAATAAGATATAAAATAAGGTATAAAATGCCAGCCTCCTGAGATATTGGGAAAAGAATTCCTATTGCTACTCCATGCCCACCTCCCCCACTCTCTGGGAAGAAGAAGGAATGGTTTATCAGGCGGTGAGATAGTGAGAGACTTACCCTTTACTCCACGGTCGCCTATCGGGAGTTAGTGGGGACGAGTCCCTGTCCCATGTGCTCTGCCCTTCTTCCCTCATTTAGATCACAAAGGTGGAGGTTCCGCTCTCTGCTCCTACATAGTAGGTAAGCTAGCATGGGCAGGACATCTCCTTGCAGAGGTAAGTATGCAGACAGTTTAATGTACGGATGAATTAGGTAAATTTATGAGTGAATGGTCTACTAACGCAAGCTGCATCCTTCAACCAAGTTCAATCAGCCATCAAGCCAATATTGACCCTGTATCTGAAATCTGGCTTTATTTCTCCTCTAGATCTTAACTTGAAGGACAGCAGGGTAAGATTTATTGGAAGAAGTGCCACATTGGGGTTATTATGCATTCTACCTCCACCACTGTGCAAGAGCAATGAGATCTGGGGGATGACTCTAGAACCACGACAGAAGGAATGTTTGCTGTGGTTTCAGGGAAAAGATTCACCGCTTTTAAGAGAAAGCCAAAGGAGGAGAGAGACTTGGTTATCTCAAGTAACCATCAAAGGCCACAAGAAGAAATAGGCTTTAGGATTGGGGAAAGCAGAACAGAAAATGCAAAGAACCTGGGTCCTTGAAGGTACTGCTGACTTACTGAATGAACCAATCAGCAGGCCACCTCACGTCTGGACTTCCAGTTATATAAGCCTGAAAATACTCTTTCTGAAGTTGGTTTGAGTTGCATTTTCTGTTACTTCCAGCCAAAACCATCTCAAATAATATATAACTAGCACATGCAGATTATTCTCTGCTTAAGAATACAACACACATATAATGTATATGGAAATTAATGACTTATAAAACAGTGTTCAACGCATAACAATCCAGGTGACCCTCCCCTACTCCCTGAGCTCACCAGTCTAAGAGAAAATACATATTCACTGTTCCTAAACTAACACACACCCTTCTGGAAACCAAATAAGAAAATTCTAGAAAGAAAAGGAAGAACTTAAACAGTGATATCTAGAAACAAAACCTAATTTAAACTCTGTTGGTTTATTTTCTTAAAGCTCAGAACATGTACAAAAGAGAAATGCCCCTTTGACTCCAGAAGTAATACATTTCTGACAAACTGCACTCATCACTATCCACTCTTCTACCATTCTTTTGCAAGTGGGTACCATTCTCCAACTCATGGTCAGGAATGAAGCTTCCACGCACATCCTCAGGTAAAAACCTTCCAATATCTGTACAAAGTAAGGGGGAGTAGGTAGCAGGACAGAGGTACAAAAAGCTACTACTTATTGCTTTGATTTTAGGAAAAGATGGTCCTAGTTCTACAGCTAGCAATTTTGGGGCTTGGGGTAAAACAGGGACCCTCAGGAACCTGAATCTTGTGCATTAAAACCTTGCAATGACTGTAGGAAAATGTAGCCAAATACAGGCATATAGCAAGACTAATATGTGAGATTTTGCAACACCTACATTAGTTAAACCATAAATGTATATGCGCTTGCTGAAAAAAAAGCACAGGGGGCTTTTTTCTTGGTCTTGAACGGATAGACAAAGGATACCCATGCTATTCCCATGGGTAAAGTTTGTTTTCACTGCATTTTTGCTCCTTCACAACTTGGTGTTATATAAAGACAGCCTTTATGAGATTACAGCAGGAGGCCAGGCCAGCTATAGAAGGAGTCTTCTGCCACACTTGCTGTCCTGACAGATATGTGACCAAACCAAGCCAGGATAGCCTGGACAGCTTGACCAAAAACCTCACCTAGACCCTTACCTTGGGGCTACCTGGAGTCTTGCAGGGTATGAGAGATAAAAATAAAAATTCACCCCAACTTTCTCCACTCTTAATCTCCATAAAGATTAATTCATTTGGAATAGATGGCCTAACATTAAAAGAGATGATTTTTTGCTTTTCCCAATATGCTACAATTTGTGATGTAGCCCAAGAAGGGTGTCACCAGTGATGACTCTGCTGAGGAGCTTCCTGCTTTCAATACTTAGATCTGCTAACCAAGTTCATGGCTTAGTTATTTCCATACTATAAGGGAGGACATGAGCTGTCAACCTGTAATGACACATTCTTTTAAAATAATTATGTAACACATTCTTGCCCTCTAAATTTGAATGCCCTAGGTGGGGGTGGGGGTGGAAACCGAAGTCATCTTGCTCAGGGTATGGCTTTGGGTTGCTGCATATAATATACATGGCACTGGCAGGTTGAGTTGCATGGAGGTGGTGTTTTGGGGGGTATGTTTCTAAACTTGCACTTCCTAGTTTGTACTGTCAATATTGGTTTATGCATCTGTCATCTCTAATAGTTTATTAGACTGTATAGCCAAGAACCTGCCCAAAGCTAAGCCAAGGCATATTACTACCCTGAAAATATAACTGTTCAAGGAAGGGAGGGAGGGAGGGATAAAAGGAGGAATGGTCAGCTGGCCAATAACCAGTTTTGTCCCAGCCCATCTTCTCTAACATGCCATGTTATCCCTGGAGCCTCTGTCCCAGCACTCACCGGCAAATACACGAACGTTCTCCTTTAGCACTGTGGTCATCTGGAGCTCCTGGATCTTTGTGCAGTGCCCCTTGGGAAGGAGAACGATGATATCCACGTTCTTTGCCCCTTGAACACTCTCAATGGCAGCACTTCCTGTGTCCCCAGAAGTTCCTGGATGAGAAGAAAAAAGAACCACCTGTTTAGAACAAGGGAGATATAAAAAGAAAAAAAATATGGTCTCTGGAGTACTGTTGCCAAATGAGGCAATATGTACTATCAAATACTTGGAAGGTAGGAACCTAGTGCTTAATCTGAGTCCCTGAACCACCAAGAGGCCCACGGATAGAATTCAGGACATCTGTGAACTTGGAATCACATAGTCTTATTTATTTTATATATTTAAAAATAGTCTGAGAAGGTTCTGTAGCCTCCACCAGACTGTCAAAGGGGCCATAGCATGAGAGAAGGTTAAGAACCCTGCTCTAGAAGAGCCAGGAACATACTCCCTGAGATACCTCAGCAGAGGACATGCTGTGGGTGGACACCAGCAAGTTGGGGCACCAAGGGGCTCCTGTGCTCCCTCCCATGATGCTCACCTACAACCACAGTGACGTGCTTCTCTCTCTTCTCCAGGAAGTATTGCAGGAGCTGTGCTGTGCAGCACAGGGACAGGTCCTTAAATGCATATGTGACCCCATGCCACAGCTCCAACACATTCAGCCCATTCCTCAGCCTGGATAAATGCACCACTTCTCTGTGGCGGAATCTGCTGAAGGCTCGGTGGACCAGATCTGTGGGCACAGCAGGTGAAAGGCATTATTATGTCTTCCCTCCAGTTCTCTCTCAGTCTCTTTACACTTTTGAATTTGAAGACTTTATCTCTGCTACAAGATAAAAAGCAGAAAGTTTTATCCTAAATGATACCATACATGAATATAATTGCATAACCTTAAAGAACGTCTGGAAAGATATGCACCAAACTGTTAATAGAGTGCTCACAGTGATCCCTCAGAGAGCAGAAATGGTACTGTAAAACTTTCATTTTTTTTATTTTATAACCATTTTCATCATTTGGATTTCTTGTGAGCATGTATTCCAAAAGAGGATTCAATTAAAGTTATGTGACAAACAAATCAATGTCTCATTTCTTCTAATTTTTCTTCCTAAAGACAGGATACTGTTTGTTTGTTTGTCATATTACTAATCTCACACCTGTGATGCCAGAACCTTTGGTTTGCATACAACCCTACCCAAGGCAGGACAGTCTGGAACAATACTGCTCAGACTTTAATTGGCAAACCAATCACCTGGGATCTTAAAATGCAGACTCTGGTTCAGTAGGTCTGAGGGAATCTGAGAATGCTATTAAGTGTCCAGGTAACACCACCAGTGCTGGTCATCAGACAACATTTTGAGTGGTTCCTTTCTCTTTCCAACCCCAAACTCTCACCATTATGTTATGGATATCACATATCTGGTCCCTGGAACAGAGCGCTAGCTCAACTGGACACTTGCTAGGAATGCAGGATTCTCCTGCTCACTCCAGACCTGCCCAATCAGAGTCTGAATTTTAATGAGATCCCTGAGGGGAATCTATAGGCACATTATAGTTTGAGACTAGCAGGTTCAGGACATGCAAAATCCTTTCTGGAATCACCACTCAAGAAAGTAAAACAGCAATCTGAGGGGCTGTGTGCCTTGGATGCAGGAAAGAAAAATCCCAACGTCAAGTGACTAGTCTTGAAAGGGTGTTTTAAAAATAAACTGAAGTAGCCCTGGCCGGGTGGCTCAGTTGGTTGAAGCAGCATCCTGTACACCAAAAGGTTGCAGGTTCGATTCCTGGTCAGAGCATGTACCTAGGTTGCAGGTTCAATCCCGGATCGGGGCGTGTATGGGAGGCAACTGATGTTCCTCTCACACATTGATGTCTCTCTCTCTCTTCCTATCTCCCTTCCTCTTTCTCTAAAATCAATAAACATGCCCTTTGGTGAGGGTTAAAATAAATACATAAATACATAAATGTAAAAAAAATTTTCCACAGATCATTTGGCTGGTGGGAGGAGCTGGAATAGATGAACTCCTCTGGGCTATTTCCAATTCTGGAATTCTAGCATCTGAAAAAAAAAAAACCCACTAAATTTTATTTAGGAAATGCTGCTAAAGATCTTCTAGGGAGGAAGTGATAAATTTTCAACCCTTGGGGGCTGGGCTGGCAAGGGTGGGAAGGTGGCATTGGAATGGGTGCTCACCATTTAAGTCATCCTTGGAAATGAGCTCAGGACCAATGAAGAGTGCGCACAGCTCCATCACCAGGCTGGGGTAAGAAAGCACACTCCACCGACACAGGGTCTCCCTGTCCAGCTGGGGAAGTTTCTCAGGCATGAAGAGGCCCCCATCGGGTGCATAGCCAGAGAAGAGGGCCCCCTCAAAGTCGACACGTGGGGCCATCCCCCTGGTGCTGACATACCACATGATCCTACAGCCTGCAGAATAGACAGTGCAGAGGCACCTGGTCTCTTTCTCCAGCAACCCATGGGAAAACCTGAAGTGTACACAATTCCCTCAGCCAGCTCTTGGATCACCACTCATTGGGGTAAGTGTCCCAGAACAGAATATTGGAGTTCTGCCTCAAGTCTCATGCCCACTTCACCTGGGACTAAGCAAATCAAGAACCATCCAGTTAAAATGAGGCAATCCACTGACTTATTATCTTGGAAGAGGGGAACCAGAGCATGCTTGGAAAGAGAGCTTGGTCCTCACTGGTGAGGAAGGCCTTGGGTGGAGGCAGATAATAGCAATGAGAATAATTGCCATTTTGATAACCCTTTGGATAAGGAGAAGACCACCACACTTGGTCATACATCCTTTAGAGAGAAGTTTGTGCTACTTCTGCTGAAAAATCACCAACTTCAATGGTTATATAGCTATGTGGCCTATAACCTAGTGGTTCACAACTCTGGAAGTTTGTTAGAGTCAACTTGGGAGCTTTAAAAAATATATTTCTACCTTGGACCCTATCTGGGTAAATTAAAGTAGAATCTTTAAATGAGAGGCTCCTTATGTGAGGCTAATGGGCAGCCAGGATAAAAAATAGGGTGGCTAACTCATCCCAGTCTTCCTGGGACTTTCCTTATTTTAAAACTGAAAGTCTTGTGTTCCAGCTAACTCCTAGTACAAGGCAAACTAGGACAGTGGGTCATCCTAGTTGAAAACCAGTGCCCTACCTCAGCCTAATCCTAGAATAGTTAGAAGTGCTGAGATGCTGCCTTCAATACACTTTAGCCATGCTGACTGGCCTGTGTGTACCCAGGGTGGAGGCTGTCCCAGGGCCCCTCAGGCCTAACTTGGGTCACAATGCCACAGCAGCTGGACTTCCAGGAGCCAGGAGCCACGTCAAGAAGCTGGGCTTCAGCTCTGGACATCTTGCTCTGGGTCATGGCTATAAATTCGGGGGCTCTGATTGTAAAGCCCCACAACACCTCTGGGGATGAATTTTACTAGACATACGGTAGCTCTCAGGACCAGCTTGGACTCATTTCTGTGCCAGGGCCACAGGGGAATGGAACCCCTGCCTTCTGGGGGCAAAAACGCTTGAAGCTTCCCATCCAAAAGAAAAGGTAGGAGCTAACATTGACCTGGAGGAACTCTGGTTTTCTAGACTGTGGATGATACCTGTGCCAGTCCTCGGAGGGCTGCTGGGTGCTAGCCCCTGCCTTCAAATTCAAATGAATCTAACTTAGAAACAGAGACACATTTAATCATCCAAATAATGAATCTTTTGAAAGTGAAAGTGGGCACTATTAATAATTATGCTGAGGCAATGGATATAAGCTTGAACTGTCTCAGGCAAACCGGGACATACGGTACAGGGGTACATGTCAAAGAAATGTAATCAGGAGAACTCCAAAAGTCAACTGCAGCAAAGCAGGCCCAGCGTTTCACAAAACAGAACTAGCTTAGGGGGTCTGGGGGCTAACAGTAAGGGAAGGAATTTCTGTAACTCTGTGGCAACTCTCAGAGTCAATGCCAACTGCCCAAGACCCTGGACTAACCACAGGGAGGACCTGCCCAGATACTTCATAGGACCAGACTAGAGGAATGAAGGCAACTGAAATGCCAAAGAAGCTGCTGCAGGTCAAGAGCAGGGATGGGGCAGGGGTGGGTGACAGGCTGGGCTATAAGGACAGAGAGAAAGTATCTGTGGCATGCCCTTCTCTGGATGGCTTGGACTACATTATACCTGGGCCATTGGGCTCTGCTCTGGGCTTTGCATTTTATGAAGGATGTGGATAAACACCCAGGAACAAAGGAGAGTGCCTGCCAGCAGGCTGTGCACACATTAGTGTCAAGAAATGGACTGATGAGCACACAGGTGATCTTTGCCTGGGAAAGGTTGCTCCTGCTCAGTCCAGTGACTCTCTCAGGTCAGCACGGCAAAACTACTGAGAATACACATCATAGGATTCAATGTAAAATAAACCAAACACAGAAGCCCAGAAGTAGAAGGAGCTGCCACAAAGAGGTGATGAAGTTGAGGGAGAAAATGAAGCAATTTTGTTGGACTGCTGTATAGGGACTCCAAGCACACAATCTGATGGGGACTGGACTAAGTGATCTGTGAAACATTTTATAATTTACCCTTATGACTCCTTCTGCATCCTATTCCAAAGTGGAGATGGGTCAGAAACACTGACCAGTAACCTGATTAGTAACATGGGAAACAGGAGACTGCCCCAAGGCTGGGAATCCTTTAGGAAGGGCTCCTCTGAGAGGTGGAGAGATTTTTCTAAGAAGGGGTGGAGCAGTGCAGAGACTTGGACCCCAGAAGCAGAACTCCTGGCCACTGTGGGCAGGTCACAGACTGTGTCCTTGGGTGTAGAAGCCTCTGTAGGCCCCAGGCATGCCTCTGCCTCTTTAAGGTCACTGGTCACTGGTTCTCCGGCTAGCTAGGCCCTGAGCCAAGACGGTTCTGAACAGATCTGCAGGATAGGGCTCCACTCCCAGCCTCTGAAAACACCGCAGAAAACCTGCACTGGGTGCAAAGAATCGGATACCCTCAACCCTCCCAGGTTCCTACAAGTTGCAGGGCCTGAACCAGAGGTTAGTTATAGAAAAGGGCAGGAGCCGAAAGAGTCCCGCTGAAGTCAGGGTTGAAAGAAAACTCGAGAAATTCAAGAACTTGGAAATACCGATAAGCCGACTTTTCTAGGACAACGCACAACCCGCAGGGAGGAACGCGAGGAGGGGACCCTGGGCCTAAGAGAACAAGACCGCTGGGGTACCGGCTGGGTGGAGTAGGGTAGTGTGGTCTGTGCCGCGAGCGAGGACCCCAACCCCTCCCGGATCAGTGGTGACCTGGGTCCTGCAGGCTGACGGCTGACGGCTGACGGCTGACGGCCAGGGTCACGCAAGAGTTAACATCCGGGTGCGGAGGCTGCGAGGTTGCTCAGCTGCTGACCGGCGCAGTGCACTCCGCCAGGCTCAGGCTTCCGGTTGCAGGCAGAGGGCGGACTAACGTGGGGGGAGGGGCGGGGGAGGACCAGAGGGGGAGGAGGGAGCTGAGGGGAATGACAATGAGAGTACAGCCGTTTATCCTTCACAGTGCATGTCTATAAGACACTTTGCTAAGTGCGTTTTTCAGTCTCTATCATCATTGCAGCCATGGAAGTATCACATAATCTCATTTTTCGGATAAGAAAACTGAGGGCAAGGTGGGAAAAAGAAAGGCCCTTGTCTTTGGGTTCATCCTCTCACCTGCAAAATCAGACGCCTGACAAACTACTTGTTTATCACAGTGGGGCTAGAAAGTCAGGAGTTCAGAATCCAGGGGACACACGGCACCATTTTAGCTCAAAAATTTTTGTAGGAAAACACTTTTCATTAATCATAGATCTATTCTAGGGTAAAATGGCTCCTTATTTTATTTTATTTTTTAATTTAATTTTATTTTATTATTTTCACCTGAAGATGAGCTTATTAATTTTGGAGAGAAGGGAAGGGAGGGAGAGAGAGTGAGTGAGAGAAAGGAGAGAAACATCAATTGGATGCCTCTCATATACACCTCCAGAGGGGATCAAACCCGCAACCTAGGCATGTGTCCTCACTGGGAATTGAACTTGCACCCTTCTTGTTTATGAGAAGACACTCCAACCAACCGAGACAAACTGGCCAGGGCTCCTCAATTAATTTTAAAGAAAAAAAGGCAAAACACCTAAAAAAATGTCCTCAGGATATGTCCAGGTGCCCCTGGATTCACATTCATGCTCCTGGGTCCTGAACCACTTAGGTATCAAAGTTTGAGGGGCTAGATAGGTCAGATGCCCTCTAAGGTTTAGTTTTAACTCTAGGCTGGGCCTGGTCTCTATAGCAGGTCCAGCTGGGCCTTATGGGGAAGTATGGGCATGGACGGCTGCCCTTTGGTTCTTTTCCTTTGTTCCTATTTATAACTTTCTCTGCTCACTCAAGTTACCTGCTCTTCAATCTTTGGCCCACACAGGGTGTCCATTTCACATACTGACATAAGCCCATATACCTACCTTTGAATGACTCCAGGTAGGGTAGGTCTCAGATTCCAGAAAGAGAGAGTGTGACTGGTCACTGCTCAGCTAATGGATTGTAGTCAGTGTAGTCATGGAGGACACACAGAGCCAGGGAGTCCATTCCCAGAAAGGGATATTGGCCAGCCAGGGATTTTCAAAGGGTTTCCACCCCCTGCATCAGGTGTACTTAGTTACTCAAAGGCCAGGGAAACTGAGGCTCCCAAGAAAAAAAGGCCATAAGGTGAGCAGTTTTTTACAGTGCTCATAACCATCCAGGATGGAGTCTCAAAATCCATTGCAAGAACAAAGGTACCTTCCACAGAGCTCTTCCAACAGGCCCCTTGACAGACTTGCAGACACCTGCAGGTCTTCCTCATGATTCTGTAAGAAGGAGGGTAGGCCAGAAGCTCTTCTGTGAGTTCTACTCTGATTCCTGAGAAAGGATAGGAGCAAAACGCTCAGGGAACATGAAGTTTAGTTCACTGGGAATTATTGCCTGGGACTCTCAGAACAGTGCAGCTACAGAAAATAAAAACTTCTGCATGGCCCACAAGGAAGACAGAATTCTCAGTCCCAAGCAGGAGTAGTGGGAACTAGAGGTCTCTGACACTCCTACATGGATCAAGATCTAGTTTTTATCAGATGAAAAGCTGCTTTTATCTATTTATTTTGTTTTTTCCCTTATGGATTAGAGTGCTTAGCTCTCTGTGACTTTGAAGCTAGCAATCTTCAAATCAGAGCTCCTGGTCCTTGCAAGTGCTGTCCCTGCAAAGCCCTCAAAAGGGAAACTTCTGTAAGATTATGTATATAGAGGATGTATAGAGTCTCCATGCACCGGAATATAGGAGTTAGGGACCAGAGCCCTTTCTAAAGATGCGATAGCACACAGGGTCTGCACTGTTGGAGAAGAAACTGACCTGCCAAAAGTCCTCCAGCCATCTGTGTGGGCCACAGGCCAGAACTCAGGCTTTTCCTAGAGTCCAAAGTGGCAAGGACAGCAAGGCAGAGGGGATAGCAGATGACATTCAGAGTCAGGACATGCTTGGTCTCTCCAGGCATTTTGACCTCCTAAATTGAATATCCATCATTTCATTTACTATGTATGATGGTTGTTTAAATAGATGGGATAATATTTAAGATCAAGTACTCTGAATCACCCTCAGATCACTGAGTTCCTGGCTCTGTAAGGAAAGGTTCCCATTAAATAGTCTCAAATTAGTTATTAAGCAAAAGCTGGCTGGCATAATGCCACTAACTTTTTTTTTTTTTTTTTTTTTTTTTTTTTACAAAAACAGACAAGTTGATCCTAAAGTTTATATGGAAATGTAGGAACTCAGAATAGCCAAAACAAATCTGAAAAAGAATATAGTTGGAAGACTTACACTTCCTGAGTTTAAGACCTAGTACAAAGCAAGTACAAATCAAGACAATGTGCTACTGGTAGAATAGACACACAGATCAATGGAATAGAGCTGAGAGTCTGAAAATAAACATATGGTCAACTAATTTTTAACAAGTATACCAAGACCATTCAATGGGAAAACAGGCTTTCAATAAATGATGATGAAACAAATGGACAGCCACATGCATGACTAAATTTGGAACCTAGCCCACACCTTATGCAAAAATTAGCTCAAAATCAATCAAAGACCTAAATGTAAGAATTAAACCTATAAAACACTTGAAGAAAATATAGGTGCAAATCTTCGTGATCTTGGACAGGCAACAATTTCTTAGATATGACATCAAAATCACATGCAACAAAAGAAAAAAGACAATTTCTGTTTTATAAAAATTAAACTTTTGAGCATCAAAGTACACTATTAAGTACAAAATGAAGGAAATATTTGCAAATCATATACCTGATAAGAGTCAAGTATCCATAATATATTAAAAAAAACTATAACAACTCAGTAATAAAAAGGCAACCTAATTTAAAAGTGAACAAAGGATTTTAACAGTCATCTCCAAATAAAATTTACAAATGGCCAATAAGCACTTCAAAAGAGGCTCAATATCATTAGTCATTAGGGAAATGCAAATCGAAACCATGAGATATCTCTTCATACCCACTAGATGGCTAGAATCAAAAAGATAACAAGTGTTAGTGAGGATGTGGAGTAAATGAAACCCTCATACGATTTTGCTGGTGGAAATGTAAATTAATGTGGCCACTTTGGAAGACAATTTACCAGTTCCTCAGATGTCAAAAGTTTTATTAGATGACACAGCATTCTGTTCATAGGTATATCCCTAAAAGAACTGAAAACATATCTTCATATAAAACCTTGTACACAAATGTTCATAGCAACATATTCATAAGTGCCACAAAGTGGAAACAAACCAAATGACCATCAGCTGATGAGTGGATAAACAAATGTGGTCTGTTCATGCAATGGAATATTATTCAGCCATAAAAGGAATGTTGGAGCATGGATGAACATACTGTGACACAGTTGAGCTTTGAAAACATTATGCTGAGTGAAAAAAAGGCAGACACAAAAGCCCACATATCGTATTATTTTATTTCTATGAAATCTCCAGAATAGGCAAATCTATAGAGACATAAAGTAGATGAGTGCTTGCAAGGAGCTAGATGAGAGAGAAATAAGAATAGACTGCTGAGGAGGATGGGGTTTCTTTTGTAGATAATTAAAATGTTCCGGGATTAGTGCTGATGGTTGCACAAATTTGTAATATACTAAAGGTATTTAATTGTACACTTTAAATTAAGTTGTAATTTTTTAAAAGTTGAATAAAAAAAATAAAAAGAACAACTGATTGTCCAGGAGTCAGGGCACATTATCCAAAAGTCTGCCGAGAGAGGAAAGCTTTGAAGGCCTGAAGGGGCAGACTGAGTCCTAGGGAGGGGCAGGATGTTGCCACTGGGGTACAAAACAATCAGATAATGGTTTTAATTCAGACATGATCTAATTAATCAGTAAACAACTTTAGAAATCATTTATAAAAAATTGGAAAAGAACAACCAAGCACCTTCCAGCACTGGAGCTTCTTATATTGTATTAATTATGCACTCTTTATTGGAATAGCAGTGAATGATACATAATTAATACAAATCAGCAAAGCCTTTTAACATTCTGATATCTGTTTTATTCAATAACTTTTGAGAAAGCTGCAGAATACATTTGAGTAGGTACATATAGTTCTGTAGTTATTATAATTTTAGGTGCTGCTCTTTTACCATCTGAACAGAGTGTGTATTTTTAAGGGATGTCTGTGGTCAGGACTAGATGTTGATTTCTCAGTCATGTGTTTTTCCTTCTCCTGGCCTGTGCTAAGCATTGCTCTGTATTCATGAAAGCACCTGTGCCAAATTGAAAGGTACTTTTGTTTATGAAAATTGGAAAACATGACTACTCGATTATCTCCACTAAAGCAGCATTAAGTGAAAGCCTTTGTTCCATGATCTCAAGACCATTGTCCAGACTGGTGCTATGTGTTCTGCATTGTTTCCACAAAGCGGTAATAATTGTAAGTCGATTGTACAGTTTAGCTGTCATGGGTGTCATTGTGGTCAAAACATGAGGTCTTGTGCTGATCTTATGTGAATTCAGACATATGATATTACTGGAGCAGACTTTTGCTTTGCTCTATAAGACTCAGCTCCATGTTGCCTGGACTTGCCCTTCACCTTCCACTCTCTCAGCTGAGATTCATGTTTACTACAAATCTACACATACATTGGCACATTTTGCCCCAGTCACCATGTCTGGAATTTTTAATCATCATTTTCAATTTTCAGAAGCTTAGACTGAGCAGGATCATGACCTTCCTAAGGGCACACCATTAATAAATAGGACAGCTGGATTCAAGTCTAGGTCTACCAATTCCCCATTTAATTTCCCATCATAACTGTAAGTTGTTTGGAACTTGAAAAATATTTTTTCATTGATAAGACATTGTGAAAACCTGGCAAA